TCCTCCTGTCAGCCGAGATTAAACCGAAAATACTATGAGGGGTTACAGTGGCACAACCAGTTATTAGGATTTAGGGGCAATTACTTTTTCACATAGGGCCAGGTAGGTTTGAATAGCTTTTTTCCCTTAATAAATGAACTCATCATATAAAAACTGCATTTTGTATTTCCTCAGGTTATCTTTGTCTTATACTAAAATTTGTTTGATGATCTGAAACATTTAAGCGTGACAAATATGCAAAAAAAAAAGAAGAAATCAGGAAGGGGGCAAATACTTTTTCACGGCATTGTAACTTGGCTTCAGATGGTCCAATTTTGATGGACATGAGCTACTTTTATTCTACAGGTAATCATGGACTCAGTAATTTTATCCTAAACCCAAAATACCCATTTTACTATTTAATTTCTTATACTGCATTTGGACACCACATAACTTTGCTTCCAATGGTCCAGTTTTGATGGACATACACTAGTTTTACACATCATATATCACCAACTTCATCAAAAATATTAAATATAAGATTTTATATGGCAATTGGACATTGCATAACTTGGCTTAAGATGGTCAAATTGTGATGGAAATAAGCAAGTTTTACTCTACTGGTGACCCTAAAGCGAGTTATCCTATTCAGAGCCCAAAATTCCAATGTACAAGAACCATACATGAAAAGACTCCATCAAATATTGAATGTGGGGTGTTTTTTTAATCATCCTCCTTTCAGTTAGCTTTATAGTAACTGAGGATAACTGGTCACTTGTCAGAATAACACATATGAAATAGCCAAATATTGTCCAAAAATCATCGATCAAGAGTCATTCAAACATATCACAAAAGAGGAGTTTTGGGTTTGTACAACAAGGATTTAGGGCCACCATAAATTGCAAAGCATATGTACAGTATAAAAGGCGGTGTTGACAGCGTTTGACCGGCCGCAAACATGGAAACACGAAACAGAAGCCTGAAGGCAGAGAGGCATATTTCAGATAGGAGGAGCAACCCACAATAGCATGGAAATATGAAGCACAAAAATGCATCCTACAAGCTAAAAGCAACACAGCTGCAGCTGTGAAATGCAGGAGCACAGCTGGCAAAAAAATCGTCAACTGTGTAAATTTGTTTATGGGTTTATAGTAGCACTGGCCCGTCATTAGGGCATGAGTGAATCTCACTATAATACTTTGTGTACTCTAATAAATTGCTTAGATGAATGCTTATGGTGTGTATGACAACTTTAACCCAGCTGCAATCCTGGTGGGGGAACCCTATGAAAGGAGTTGCATTTCAAATACAACAATAGACGTAATAAGATCGACAGTATTCACAGTCACATGAGTTAAGGTATATCTGCTTTGTACTAAAGCCCTGTCGATGGACTGTGTGGTTAAGTGGCAAGGGAACACTATGGCATTCAGCAGCACTGATGGAGCATGTGCCTCCTTATGAATTGCCATGCAGATATTATTCATATTCAAGTTCTCTGCATCACCCACAGCATAGGCCTACAGTAAAGTACAAGAAACAAACAAACAAAAAAAAAAACATAGGGCAATGCCAACAGTTTGAGGGACTGTTAGGGCATTACTCTTACGTGTCGTACAGGTAACATATGGCTCAAGAAGCAGGCAAATTATCCCCTCAGATGTAAAACAGTTCCTCTCAGGGAGATAATCATTGAACAAAGCTAAAGGGTTTTGCCGGGCTCTAAATATTCTTGCCCTCCTCAGAGACCCTTTCACGATCCGCTCACCGAACTCCACGGGATCCTCTGTGAGCACTGATGCTATGTTCCAAGAGAAGTGATAGGTTAGAAGGCGCTGCTTTCATACCTGCTAATCTCGTATTTTGAACATAAGCATGTTATGCAAACAGCGTAAGTTACTATGGTAATTTACCCCGGGAAGAAGTGGACCACCAGCGTAGTCCTGAAAACCCAGGGTTAAACCTGAAGTTACCAGGATAACCTCAAATCCTGTTCTGCAGTACAGGCCCTGGGTCTCCCAAAGGTGCCACCAAAGCCACACCGTAAATAATACTAGTACAATAGAAATGTCAGATCTGTCGGACCACCATGTTTAACTAACATTATACACCGTATCTTTAAATGTTGCAATTTTGGCTGACAATGACAACAGAAATAAACAAGTTTGCAATTTCACATATCTCTGATGCATCCAAACACATTACAGTATTAAACTAAACTAAAAAAAAAACTGCATATAAATTAAAAAAAAGAAAAAAGGGAAAAAACTACATACATCAACCTTTATCGCAGTAAGAGGTTGAATCTGAAAACTAACTGGTATACAGGTCATTATTTCCATTATATTGACATATGCTTATGTATAACACATTTTGTTCTCAGCCTGTTTGTTGTTTAATTTAAACTTTTATTTAAGCGCCATGCTCAGATCTGAAAATGTTGCGCTTTAAGCAAAAGGGATTTTACGTAAGGTAAATATGTCATTTCTTGTCACTTCAATCTGACATTTACTTATCACTTTCAGTAAAACAAAACAGAACATACCAACAAACAAAAACCACATTGTCATAGTTCTGTTACCTTTTGAAAGGAGATAGATGCTACATTGAGTGTGTGTTCATTGCAAGGGAAGTTTACTTCAAGGAGTGGTGAGATTTGAAGAATATATTCGCAGATTCCGTACACTAAGTGATGCTTGTATGAGAGTGGGGGGCATTTGTTGTCACTTTGTCTTTTTATGGGCTTACAGAAGCACTCACAGCAGATTATAAAGCACGAGGAATCATTAGGCTCGTTCGAGATGAGCCAGGTCTGCGCAGATTCCACCACCGGCGATCGGCGAACAATGCATGCCGGCTAGTTTTGTGTCCGACTTCATCCCGCCTGGCTCTGACGTATTACAAAAGTGGACGGCGATTAAATCGCGACAGCGAGGCGGCCGCAATTTTTAGAGCCAGGCGCTGCAGTTGCTCTCCACCGACTGCACCGCCTGGCTCTAACCTGATCTAACAGCTGATTGGTTCAGAGGTTGGCTCAACAATATGACGATTTATATACACTCTCTACTTTTGTTGAATGGAAGAGAGTTTGATTTTATTTGTCAGATTTGAAGGTTTAGTCTGGTTACAGAAAACGTGTGGCTGATGTGACGTTAATTGGGATTCATGTCACAGATCATGAACGGAATATAGTCTATTGTATGTTAACACCGCACTGTTTTAATTATTGAAGTATTTAGCAGCGCAAATATTTCTGGTAAGTGGGATGTGAGGATTTTTATGGGGGGGAGACCTCGGGTGAATAGGATGTACGTATTTCTGTGACTTCCTGAATATTCTCTCAAGGCTGCTGGAAACTGTCCGACTTGATTGCAGCTTGTTGTCACCGCCCCCCGCTGCAGCCGCCTGCTCTCGTTTACTTTCCAGGCGAGGCGCAATTCACCTCGAACGAGCCTAATACCTCACCGTAGCAAACAATAAAGTTGCTGTTGGACTGTGTCATCTTCGATACTATCGCTTCTGTTTGCTGATCCATGTTTGCTCCCCTCCCTTTGAGTGTGATTGCATGCGCCCATTTCACCCGGAACTCCCGAGCACATCATGTGACTTTTTGGTCACGAATTAGACGAATGGAAGTATCTTAAGAACCATCCATGATTGACAGCGCTGGAAAGCAAGACTTGCAGTTTTCTGATGTTCTGATGAAGGCTCACGCGGCGGCCCTCCGAGAGGGTTGGTGGTCGTTGATTCTGTTTGTCTTGCTTTATTAACAGCCTAAAGGTTTACCGGAAGTGGGTCTTGCCGTTTTGTCTGGAAAAACTATGCTGGCCATAATCTGTGTTGATTATGTTAGGGAGTTGTGTAAGGTTGATAATCTAATCTATCCCGAGTGCGTTGCCTTGCAGAACTAGACTGACCTTGTTCCGATTTTGACGGCTGTGTGTGCTGTAGGTACGGAACTGGCTCGCAGCGCCACACAAACCCTGCTGAGTGTGCCGTATGGAGAGGGGGACTTGGAGAAACTGGATGTGTACGTTCCCAGCACTCCTTCTTTAGGTAGGGAGAAGGGGTTCGCCGCATATGACTGTCCCACGAAACAGGTTCAACATAAGCCAGGCTGTCTGTGCGAGAGCTGCCTCGACAAACCCTAAACTCGTAATCGGAGGCATTATAACTTCCCATGACAGGTTAAAAGATCCAGCTTCTTTGACATAAAACAATCTCGATTGCAAGCTAAATATTCCTCACGAACTCGGTAATTTCGCTTTAAACTGATTTACGCTAGTTAATTTTTTTTACCCACTGCAGTAAGTTTATAGTATATGAATTGTCTGATCGTTTTAATTTTCTTTGTGATGTTTGCACTGATGAAACCACAGTACATAATTTATCTCCAGGCCCCAAATCAACATAGGTTTGAGTTATATTGCAACCCCCGCCCCCCCAAAAAAAGAAATTAATATGCAACCAAACAAAATGCACGCGCTCAGCCGTGCGGCAAGTTATTGCATGCAGTGGTTCCTTTCGGGTTTCCCACTATACGTGTTCATCAATCAGTTTTATTTTTTAAAGTGCAGTATCGCCATGCAGCATGGTCCCAATACACTTCATAAGACCATTAAACAAAACAAATGGCAAGCAAATCAACAAAAATAGTTACTATAAAATAACCGTGTTAGAAACGTCAAAGTGAAAAAGGATTTTAGAAAAGTGATCAATCCGACTGCGCTCTGGGGTAGACGGTAATGAATACATACACAAACATACCACTGGTTTATAAAAGAATAAAAATGAAAATAAAACAAAGTGATTAAGGTCTTAACAGAGTTCATCTGAACGTGCTACTTCAACATGTAATGGAAGGCGATTCCAAAAGAAGGCCAACTGATCTAATTTTTTTTCACAATGACCGAATGAGCAGCACTGAGGGAGTGAAGAAGGTGTGCTGTTGTATACAGTGCACTTAGCTCCAATAAGCAATGTGGGGCAAGTCAGTGCAAGGCCTTATGGGGTAAAAGGGCGGCACGGTGGCTTAGTGGTTAGCACTGCCTTCACAGCAAGAAGGTTGTGGGTTTGAATCCAGCCTGGGGCTTTTCTTTTTGGAGTTTGCATGTTCTTCCCGTGTTCGTGTGGGTTTTCTCTGGGTGCTCCGGTTTCCCCCACCCACAAAAACATGCATTATCGAACACTCGTACCAGTGCCCCTGACCAAGGCTCTGGCTGTAGAACTGGAGTTGGTCCCCGGGCGCTGCTCTGTGGCTGCCCACTGCTCCTAACTATAGGATGGGTTAAATGCAGAGGATAAATTACCCCACAGGGTTCAATAAAGTGTATTTTATCTTATAAAAGAAAAACCTTGAAGTCAGCTCTCCCATGCACAGGTAGCCAGCGAATTGAGGCCGGAATGGGTGTTATATGGTGAAATTCTGTATTATTTAGTCAAGATTCTGGCTACAACGTTCTGAACAAGCTAAAGACCTCAGGTAGCACAGCTTGTAAAACCAGAGAAAAGGGCATAACTGTTATCAAGTCTGGAAGGCACAAATGCATGGATTATGGTTTCAGCGTGACAGAATGATTAAGTTATTTGGACATTACTTGGATGAAAATAAAATGCTGTCTTGGTAATAGTTTTTATATGAGACTGGAATTTCAGATAAGAATAGAAAATCACCAGTGGATGGTGGAGCTTTCTGAAATAGTCATCAATTTTAACACTCAGTTTCTTAAATGCCCATATTTGGCTGGTCGAACGACCAATAGCTCTGTTGAATCAGTACTTAGTCGCAAAAAGTTAATTCATTTCTTAATTTTTGATAGACATGCGTCTAAATTTAAGCGCTGTGGGAAGGTTGTTTCACTTCACAGAGACATACTATAGCTGTGTATCAGTAGCATATGAGTGAAAGTCTATTCTTTGTTTGCAAATGATGCCACTAGGGGGAGGCGGTAAATAGAAAAAAAGCATGGGGCTAAGAACTGATCCCTGAGGTATACCAAACTTTATATAAGAAAATTCAGAAACCGTGTTGTTATAACTTATATGTTTAGCTCTGTTTGATGAATATGAATGAAACGATGAAAGCACCATCCCCTGGATACTGATATGTTTCTCCGTGCAGCTTTGAAGTATACTGTGGTCCATGGTGTCAAAACCTGCTCTCAAGTCATAGTGCATTAGTCAGTCAAAGTCTTGGAAAGTTTTGACAAAGTTAATCCGAGTGAGTTTTGCAACTGTATTAAACAGAAGGCATGGACTATTCTTATTATTGTTAATCAGGTAAGAGAAATATGCAGACCTAGCGGCTAGAACTGCATGCATACTTTTAAAAATTTTCACTTCATTTGGTGGTAAACATCGTAGGGAGTCAGATTTGCTTGACTTAGGTTGGATTGTAAAGAAACAAAAAACAGACAAATTATGGTAACAGCTCTCGTAAAATATGTTCATAACTTGGATAAAATCATTTAAATTCTGATTTCTCTGTAAAAAGGCTAATTTTCATCTCTTGTTTACAGAATGCAATCAGTATAAAATTGTAAGACTAGTAAGCATTCAATCCCATAATAAAATAATGACAATTTAGCAACTGGTTACCAATTTGAACTATCAAGTAGATTGTGCTTTTCTGATGGCGGATGTTTAATCCTAGAATATAGGGACATTGTTGATGCGGTTATTTTGCATTGTTACAATTGAGCTGCACTTCCTGTTCTGACTTTGAGTTGAAGTAGGGCTGCTCAATTAATCGAATCGCGATTATTTTAAGCGCAATAAAAGTAACTGCCACTATGAGGCAGGCAGACAAGCTTGCTTATTACCTTTTCTATTACACATACCTAATGCGATCATTTGAAATACTTCCGGGAAGAAAACTGATTTGAAGTCTCCTAATTACTAGCGAGGTTGGACAGTCTCCACCGCTTTGGCATAGTTATCTTACCTTGAATCAATTCCTGTACTTTGCCTAACCTGCAATTAAGCCATTTATTCAGCCAGCTGTCTAATCAAAACCATAATGTGGCCAACAATGATTAAAAAGCGACAATGAGAGGCAGACCGACCTAATCAGGCTGCCATGTTGGGCCCCGCTTACATGTACACGGTTATTTTGACAAACGGAGACATTTCCCTGAGTTTGTGCCCTTCGTTTACACGCAAACGGAGAATTTGCCTCTGAAAACGATTCTTTCTAAAAACTCCGGCCAGAGTGGAGATTTGGAAAACCTCGGTTGCATGTTTGCATGTAAACTGAGAAAAACGGAGTTTTAGGCAGCCGACGTCACAGTATGCGCCAGAACTTGCACCTGCGCCAAAAGTGCGACCAATGTTTACATTTTCATTTGGTTGTGGTGATTGGATTCGTTTCTGTTGTTGCTATTTTCGGGATTCTGATTGGCTAACGTGGGCTTGATCTTATCGTTACACTGCCACCTACAGGTTTGATATGCTCTTGACGGCACATATATTCGGGTACTTGTAAACGAAAACTTTTCTGAAAACTGATAAGTGTGCATGCTATTATTTTTGAAAACGGAGACGGTGAAATGTGCGTTTGTGAAAATAGCCGGCCACATGTAAACGGAATGTTAGATTGAAAGAATGTCAATAATCTGAATGAACAGCAGACCTCTGAATTCCACCTCTCGTATAATTTTTACATATCATTAAAAAGATTTCTTTAAAATAAAATCATTTTAAGATGGTCCTGGTTTTTAAGCGTTTCAAAACATACGCGAAGTAGAAAACATTTTGTGAAGCATATCAAACGTGAAGTGAGAGAAATGATTGTCGCATTGCACGCAATAGATAAATTCAGCGAAGAACTGACAAACACATTGAGGTAAATTACGTGCTGAACAACAAAAAGTTAATGTCTGCAAAGTCATCATCCTCTACCCGACAATTGCTCTCACCCCCTTCCCAATTACTTTGCTCAATTTGCAATCAAACAGTTGATTCGCTGAATTAGGCAATAAGGCTTCACAAAATTTTCTCCACTTTAAGTAGCCTATATTTTTAAGCAGTGGCGGGCGGTGGACAGAGAACAAGGAGGACGATAAACATGACTTCAAACTGCTTATTAGTCTTGATCTGTTTTCAGTCAATTTCCCTGGTAAAAGACACTGTAACTCTCCCCTCTCAGGTGTAGCTAATTGTCTTCGTTAAGACGAGAAATCAAACACATCAGTTGAACGCAAAAAAGAGCGCATTTCAATCTTTTTCAATTAAACAATCATTAAGCACGTTTGACGACTTGCTTAGGATCTGACAAAATTTAACGCGGAAAGTCAACAGTGGTTTTTTCGTGAAGAGTTGCCTATTAAGGCATGTGAGTTAAAGAGTTTATAGAATTTATTATTCATTCGCCTAAACATTTCATTATAAAGGAAACTAACATGCTGACCAAGAACAATGATTGAAATCGGGTCACTAATCTCATCCGTTTCAAGGGATGTTTTCCGTCCCCTCGGTTTTCCGTCCACCGCCCGCCACTGTTTTCAAGCGCTTAAAACCAGGGCCATCATAAAATAATGTAATTAAGAAATATCTTTAATAATACATACAAAATTCCCCGATGAGAGGTGGAATTCAGAGGTTTGCTATTTATTCAGATTATTGACATTCTTTCGATCTACGCAGTGTCTACGTGTCCGAAAGTCGGACAGGGTTTTAATATAACTCCGTGTACGACAGTCGGATGGTTTCGATATACGCAGTATCTACGTGTCCGAAAGTCGGACAGGGTTTTAATATAACTCCGTGTCCGATAGTCGATTATTGTTTTTAATTTCTTAAAATCTACTGAATCTTTTAGATATTAAACGTGAATGTTTTCATCAGAGGGCTCAGTTCTTCAAGATGAGTACCGAGAATTTCAATCAATGTTTCTGTTTAAGCTCTGCTCAATAAAGTGAGTCGACATTGGCGCTGGACTTTTGCATTTATGACGAATTTAGCGACTGTCGAACAGAGATCCTAAAAATACTCCGGTCCGAAAAGTCATAAAAGTTTTTAATTTTTCGAGTATTCCAGCAATTATTAGACGCACAAACTTGGCCATGTTTGTGTTCGACCTTCACAAAATGCAAATTAACAGCTATCGACTTTTTCTTGTTTTTTTTTATTCGCCTGTTTTCTTCCATTGAAGATAGACAACAGTCTTTATTCGGTCTCTCTTTTTGAAAATTAGTCAGATGGATGGAACAGATTCACGCTTTATTTCCACACCAGAGATAAAATGCTGCTCGTAGTCAGTGAGCAAATCAATTCCATGACCATTGACATTGGCGCGTTTCCCAGTTAAGTGCGTTCTTAAGGAGATAAGAAGGGTCCAAAGAAGAGTTCAGCAAAGAGGGAGCCTTAAGATAAGAGTGTTTCCCAGATGCGTTCTTAGTGCCCTTCTTAACAAGTGTCTTTGTGCCCTTCTTAACTGCCCTCTTAACTGGAGCTCAACTGATCAATCGATGTCAGAGTAACCGATTGTTCCACATACTTACGTGCACATAATTGAAGTTTTGATGTAATAAGTGGCGATAATGTTAAAAATGAACGCAGTAATGCCATTGCGCACGCAGCAGAATGTCTGAAAACAAACGGACGCAAATAAAGACCAATAACACAGATAAGAAATCAGAAAAATAAGAATGAAAACATAAAACAAAATCATAACATTACATGAGTGAAATATAACATTACACGATACTGTACCTCATGTAATGTCATATTATTTCATTTTATGTTTTCATTCTTATTTTTCTGATATAATTCTGCATATAATTATGAAAAGTTTATTTTATTTTAGGGATAGCAGCAAAGGTTATAGGCTTTGCTGCTATCCCTAAGAGTAACAGCTGATATGATGCTTGCCGCACTGCATGGTGGCAGGGGGCTTATTTTATTTAGTGTTTTTTTTTATTATTTGTTGGTGGTGGTGGTGTTTGGGGGTGGGGTGGTGTACAAGTGCTCAGTGGACTGGTTGGTGACTGCAAGGTGAAAGGGTGGGGAAGTGGGGATGTCCGAAATCAGAACAGGTTGATGAGCTCCTGTCTGACCTGGAGACCGGCTTGGTGGAGAGCTGCTCGGGGCTCA